TGCTCCAGGTCTCTGCGGGCTTCTATCTATCCCCGGCGCCCAATACACCATACAGAATAAATCGGCATAAACCAGGCGTGCACTCCTGTAATCCTGGCACCGGGGAAGGCAGAAAGCAGGAGGACTGCCACGAGTCTGAGGACCCCCAGACTAGACTGTGAGACCCTTTTGCTTTTTTTTTTTTTTTCAAAAATAAGTTCAAAGAAAAAATTCACACCACACCACACACACACACACCAAGTCTTATTCTATCCTTTCCCTTTCTCCCCCGCCCCCAAATTGAATAGCCCATAGTTGTTTCCATAGGTTCCAGGAGCCTCAGAGCTCCAGGTAGGTAGGTAGGGGTGTGTGTGTGTGTGTGTGTGTGCAAAGTGGGGGTAGGGCAATGGCCTTGGTCACTTGCAAAGCCACCTCCCCTCTGGCTCCGCTGCTGCGGGGGCTGCTATCTATGAACAAACTGTCCTTGGGGTCAGGGACAACAAAGAGCCAAAGGTCACATTGCTGTTTTCCCCCAGCCCTTCCCCCATAGAGGCCACCAGCTGTCTGGGATAGGAAGGCGATCACAGGAACACGAAATTTCGGTGTTTGAGACCCACAGGGGCCACCAAGGAAAAGAGACACTCAGAAATCGAAAAGGTGCCTTTTTAATGGTCAAACAGCCAGTACCCCAAGTCCCAGGCAAGAGCTTGACCTCAGTAAGAGCTCCCCACACCCGAACCAGTCCTGTCTCACATCCAGGGTGGAGATGGGCTTCACAGAAAAAAAAAAAAAAATCACAGGGTCTTCTCATCTCTACCCCTCACCCAACCCCCACCAAGGAGACGGTGATGACAGGCCTGTGGTGACCCTCGTGGTGCATAGCAGCATGCTGAGATGTCACCTGGCCAATGTGATGGCTTTCCATGCATCCAGTGTGTCCAAAAAGACATCGTGTGATAAGGTGGCCAACTTGGCATCTGTCTGCCAAAAAAAAAAAAAAGGGATCCCAGCAGACAGTGGGCCAAAGAAGACATGGCTGGCACGACGCGACGGTCCCCCACTCACAAGGCTAATCACGATGTCCAGCACAGCATCCAAAGAGCCAAACAAGATGTCACCCGACATGGTGACCCAATGGCTTCACTCAATATGGAAGCTTTCACAGAACACCCAGTATTGCTGCCTACACAATACCCCCACCCAAGGCCCTGTCAGGGAGTCCATGGCAGTTACCACAGTAGCCAACAGGTCACCACAGTAATAGACCAAATAAGATGTTAAAACAGTGGGACAAGCAAATGTGGGACGGGAAGGACCAGAGCCCAAGAACCCAGTGTCCATCGCAGCTAACCCCCACTACCATGTTTCCAATTGCCCTGCTAGGATGCGTTAAGCAGAGAGCGGGAATACAGGTTCTGGTAGTAGACCCCTGGCTCCCCACCCTCAGCCCCGTAGCCCCCAAACCCCACATCCAGTTTGGAAGGTGCTGGTGTCTGTTCCGACATCAGGTTGTTGATAGAGAAAGGGTGGTTAAAGTTGTAGGGTGCATCCAACTTGAGTTCCCCTGGGAGCTCCAGGCCAGTGAAATAGGGCGTAGAGGAAGGAGAGGCTCCCTCCAGACCCCTCACTTCTTCCCCACTCTGGGCC